GGTTCCTGACTCCCCGGAGGAGGTGACTACGGTCTTCTCTGACCCTCCAACGGCTCCGGCCACCTCTGGCTTCGCCAGTGGGGGGAAAAGGTCCAGATCTGTGTTTACAGAGGACTACAATGAGTGGGACCCTATTTACATGACCTATCTAAGGGACAAATACCCTCATGACTTCCCTCCCACAAACTGATCTTGCAGCGTAACTATTACTAAACCCTAATTTTGATTTTAGTTGTTTTTAGTTAGCTTTGCCTTGTTTAAATGGTTGTTGTTGGTGCTTATCATTGTCGAAACGCATGTGAAGTGTGTGCATGTGAGTTACTACAATTGAATGTTGCTGGATTATGATGCTTGATTGTGTTGTTTTGGAGGTTGGATTATGCATGTATTCTTCTGTATATGACGCTGGATTATGTTGGATGGTTGTTTGTGCACACTGCTGGTTTTTGTTTATGTATGCTTGGTTATATTATGCTGGATTGAAATTGATGGATTATGTTGGATGGTCTGTGTTGGATTTGGTGGGTGCTTGTAGTGTTGGAATGGCCAAGGGAATGCATGGTTGATGGATGATGGGTTATGTTGGATGGTTGTTTGTGTATAGTCCCATTTAAATGTTGCCTAGTTGTGCTTGCAAGTCAGTGCCCGTGCCTTTCTGTATGAGTCCCCCATAAAGTGTTTTGTGTGTGAACAAATTCCAAATGATGAAGGGACACACTTTGAGTTGGATGTGTAGGTTTGTTTTGCTCCAAAAACTGCCTTTTAACTGTTGTTACTGAGGTAACAACCTACAACATGCCATTGAAACAAAAGCAACCTCCCTGATGGAATTCATTTTTCAACATTCATCCTAATATTCATTCATTACACTTCAAAAACTTACATGTTCACTAAACCTAATCATTCATTACATGACTGACTGAAAATAAGAAAGTTTATCTACCAAAATACACATAACCAAATCATTATAAGCATCAACAAAAAAAAACAGTTGCTTACTCAACACAAAAACCAGTTGTGAGTCCATATTTGGTTATTTGTGGAAGTCATGTTGTCATTGAATGATGGTGTTGTACCTAGTCTGCATCAACCTCTGTCTCCATGTAGTCTGCATTGTTTTGATTAGTTGGAATAAAAAGAGTGTTGAGGTGCTCAACTGCTTTCCAAATGAGTCCCCTTTGAACTTCCAAAAACTCAGGAAGAAGACCTAGGTTGTCCAACCTTTTCTTGCCCATATGAGGTGGATTGAAGTTATTACCCCCTTCTTTCTCTAAAATCTTTTTCATTACTCCTTGCAAAGTGATCTATGTGTACTTGCTGGGTATTGGATCAAGCCATTCATAAGCCTCATACACTTTCTCTACTAGTTCATCAATTGTTGTAGGAAAGGACTGGTATTGCAAGGACTGAATGACCTTGAATAGACCAAGGTCCGGTACATTCAAATCTGGAGATTGAGCTGGTTGAAACACCATTTGAATGTTGAAACCATTAGATGTACATGCTGCAATGAATTCATCATCCCTTGGAATTTGATGTGGCCTTGCATTGTCCCATTGAATGAATATGCCCTTAGACAGAATAGGATGCCATTGCCTGTGTATTGCTGGAATGATGTTGTTCATCAGCTTTTTCCTGATTTTTTCTTTGGTCACACTCTACACAGCCTTTGTCTCCATGACCCCTGCATCTCTGTTCTTGCTTTTCTTCTTAGCCCTTTGCTGGTAAGTAAATGGAAAAATTCCATACTTCCCATCATGCAGCATATGGCCATAGATGTCATAAAGGGGCTTGCCAATCATCCCCATGAACATAGCTTTAATTTTTTATCTCTTGGGCTGCTGACATATGTAGGGGTTTTCTTCCTTTGGTAACAGGTAGAACCTCCTTGTTTTAGGGTTCATATAGAATCATTTTTCATCTATGTGTATAAACCTGTTGCATATCCATGAAAGTTGGATCCCCAACTGCTGGAATAGGGTGAATATGGCCTAATGGCCACTTCAGTCTAGCCACTTTGTGATTTGATGTGAGTGTTGGATGGTTGGTGCTTGTATGTGTTCTTAATCTGCCCTTTTTCTTCAAGTTATGGAGAAATCCATGTGACACTTTCAAAGCAGCTGCATAGCTCCTCTATGTTGTCCTTTTGTATAAAGGCACTGACTACAAGTACTCATCATAAATGAGTCTAGGTTTGGGATTAGTTTTCCCTAGTTTTTTTTTGCTTCTGACATCAATCACATTCCCTTATACTATACTTTGCTTTACAAACTGCCAGACCCCCAGTGATGTGCTTCTGTGAATGCCATATTTTCTTGCCATTTGTGACAAAAACCCTCTGGGTAATTCCCCACCATGCATGTTCAGTAGATAGTCATCAACCATTTGGCGTTTCTGTTGCACTGTTAATTGCTTCCTACTTGTTGCCTGTGCCTCTGCCTGTTGTTCCTCTTTACTGCTGTCCCCCTCAGATTCATCATCCATGCTGTCATCAGCTGTGTCGTACTGAAATGGTCCCTCATTTAGTAGTTGTTCTATATAAAAAAACTCCTGATCAAAGTATTCTTCCATGTGTTGTGTGTCCCTTTATCTTTGTTTTTGCAGATTTGAAGGATGGTGATGAAGTTTTTTGGCTGCTTTTGTTTTTTGAAGTGGTGATGAAGCTGAACCCTAATGTTGCCTTAGTTTAGGACTAATTTCAGTGTAGGCAGTAAATATTTTGACTAATTATGGATGTAATTAATGGGGTTTTTTTTTTTAGAAACTTGAAGGTGAATTTAATGCCCATGGTGGATTAAGTTTGTAATTAAATGGAACAATGAATGTTGTATGCCTTTTATATGGGGACACCTTTTGTTTGCATCAATAGGAAAATTTGAAAATATGGTGAAATTTGAAATTTCAGTGAAAGTGAAAATTTTGGGTGAAATTTAAAAATTTCACACCAAAAAATAAAGAGGGAAACACCCCTTCCCTCTACCACTACCAACGAAAATCAGAAGAAAGGGGGAAAAGTGGGACCATTTCCCACCTTTTTCCCACTAACTTCAACCCACTCAAATAAAAATAAGTGGGATCAATTCTTTCCCTCCATTTTCCCACTTAATTAAACCCACCCAAACTTAATTAAACTCCACTAAAAGTTTTGCCTAGGAGTCCACAAAAACCCCCTTTGGTGTAGATAATTGTGGACGGAGGGAGTTTAATTTTGGAAAATTTTGCAAAAAGTCTCCTTATAAAAGCTTTTTTTTTTTTTTCTAGAAAAGCTCCTTAATTTTTTTTTTTTTTTTTTTTTTTTTGTAAAATCATACCTTAATCAAATTATTTTTTTACAAAGTTATACCTTATGCTGTAATATGGGTTTGCCCCAGCCCCAGCCCCACCCCACGAAACCGTCCCCTCCCCAAGACCCCAACCCCATTCACTTCTTATATTCCATTATTATTCTTTAGCAAATTTGATATCATTACAAGAATACAAGGTGAACAAACAGAAATGCTCAAACATGTTAAATTTCCTTAATTATGTCACTTTCAATGTTTATTCTCAATTAATTGTCCATGTCACAAATAAACTCACCTTTATTTCTTCTTCTAATTAATCGGCACAAAACCGCTATTTCATTATGAGTCAAATTTATCAAAGGTAAATCGCCAATTGCATTAGTGCATTTTTAATGAACAACTGATTCAATATAAGTTGTTAACTCAATTAATTGTTTAATAAAAATAAAAATTTTCATTTTCAAATGAAATACTAGCTTTACATTATATGAGAGACCGAAATTTAATTAATTGTTTTACTCTTAACTAATAAAAACAAAATTGACCATGGTAGATGTTGATCTGGACGGTAGATGAGAAATTATGTTAATAAACGGTGAAAATAAAGTTAATATGGCTTAATAAAATGTAAAATTGATCAAAAACAACCTAATAAAAAAATATCCTTGGCACAAAATTTTTGTATCATTTTTATTTTTTATCAAGTAAGACCTTTAATTTGGTTAATATCTGGACTTAAAATCTAAGGTTCGCTTCACTTTCTCACCAATATTCAATAAACAAGTTTCCCCTTTTTCCTACATACATGCTATTCTCTTCTCTACTCATTAGAGAATTGCATTTTGTGTCTGTTGTGATACATTTTAAAAATCAGAACATTTTCGTAATGTACAGATTACTAGTCTAGTTACTCTCTTAGAGACTAAGGGGTCGTTTGGTTGGGGCTAATAATCAAAGGAAAAGGGAATGAACGTGCCTAATTCCCTTTTGTTGCGGTTAGTTTGTCACTTTTTTCACTTCCTTTATCCATTTTTATTTTTGAGTTCATCCAAAATTATTCTACATTGATTCCCCACCCCCTAGTCTTTTCCATTCCCTTTCCTTAGCCACCACTACCCCACCATACTCACCACCCTTTGGAATCTATTATATATACCCGGGCGCACCGTACACCCAACTAGCCCAAGGTTAGTTTTTACTCTTAATTTGATGATTAAATGAAAAACAATCATTAAATGAAAACCAAAATACTCATGAGTATACGGTATACCCGGTGTATATAACAATCCTTCCATTCTACCCCTATTGTCGCCCCTCCCCCTCCCACCGCCCCCCCCCCCCCCCCCCCCCAAAAAAAAAAAAAAGCCCTCCCTTCCCTTGAAAACCTTTCCCAACCACCCTTCTACCTTACCCCCACCACCCAGTCACCTTGTCGGAACTAGTTGCCCCTCGTCGACCTCCCTCTCACTCCTTGCTGGAACTTGTCGCGTCTCCAGTGATAAGAGCATTTTCAATGATAAGCTACATGCTTGTAATTTTATTTAATTTGCAAGTAGAATCATTTTTGTGTATCATTGGAAATGCTCTGATAACAAGGGATCACTTTTTAAAAAAGTTAAATGTAATGTGTGAATAAATTAGAATAAACTCGTAATTTTAAATACCGCTCATAAGAATTTCATAGTAAATCATAGCACGATATGGTGATTAGTATCATTCAAAACCAGAAGGATCAATGATATTACACACAATAAAGGAAACACCCAAAACAATATTGGTAGTAGAATTTAACATAGATGAATGAGATCAATACAAGTCTCTGTCTCTGGAACATTCAGGAGGAATGGTTGGATATCTAACTCTATCCTTACAGTAATTGTAGATAGTAAATTTGGAGCGAACCCACCTCAATCTCCTAAATTGAAAAGAATCAAGGTCTCTGAATTCCTTTTGATCCCACCATCTCTTTCCTTGAGTTGCACAAAAGTTGGCCTCAACGGAGGCCTCGCAACCGTCAATATGGAATCCTTTGTAAGCTGCCACAAATGGAGCCTTTGACCAATCTGTTTTCTCTAATCCCCCCCTTGTAGCCCAATCATCTGCATTCCACAAGCTCGAGTACATTTCCATTGGTTGGTTGAACGGGAATTTCACTCCCAAATCTTTGCAATTTTTGAACACTCTAATTGGCGTGTCATCCACAAAGAACCTGATCATCCACGACTCCAAGTGTTCAAATTAAATCTTCTTCATTAATCAATATTCAATACTATAACCAATATCCAACTAATCATTTATAGTGTAAAGTAAGTTACTTACACTATCTGATAAAGATTCCACAGAATGGAGTATCTATGGAAGTCTTTGGTTGGATCAAACCACAGATAAATTCTTTGCTCTCTGTCTCCCTTTCCTCCGGTGAATACATTAGTCTGTAGAATATACGGTTGCCCGGTCCGGTTTCCCAGGAACTCAAAGTCTACCTCGTCGTGCTCTGAATTTTGTGATGACAACTAACAAAAAAGTATTCATTTATTAAGCTAATACATCATTGTATACAGTTTAACAAAAACCATATCCATGCTATTAATTTGTATGCATGAATAGTGCTATCTAGAAAAGCCTTTTGTTATAGGCAGTTAAAGCACTACACTCGCATAATTAAATTCAAATATATTGCAGTAGCAGATAAAGGGGCTTTGACTCTTGAAGATGATAAAAAGAAAAGAAATGGGAGGAAGAACAAAGCGACAAGAAAAATTAAAGAGCAAAACATAATCAAAATTACTGCCCATAAAGTAACTTTATTAAAAACAGGTAGGGGTGGGACTTCGGTCTGGCGGTTCGGTTTGACCTCGGTTTGAGTCGGTTTCGGTTTGGAGCGGTTCGGATTGAAACGGTTTAGTTTAGCTGGCGGGTCGCTTTGGTTCGGTTTGGGTTAGTCACGGCTCGGTTTGGTTTCGGTTTATTTCTTTGCGGTTTAAATTCGGTTTGGGTCATAAGCGGGTCGGCTTATAAACGATTCGGATTATGTCGGTCCGGTTTGATACGGGTCGGTTTAAGGGGCGGGTTTACCCGGGTCAATGTCAGTTCGGTTTACAAACGGTTTGGATCAAGCCGGTTTGGTTTGAAATGGGTCGGTTTAGGGGCGGATTTACCCGGGTCAATATCGGTTCGGTTTATAAACGGTGCGAATCATGTCGGCTCAGTTTGAAATGGGCCGGTTTAGTAGAGGGTTTACACAGTTCAATTGGTTCGGTTTATGAACGGTTTGGATCATGTCGGTTCGGTTTATAAGCGGTTTGGGTCATGAATTCATGATTGTTTTAAAGATCGCGTCATGACCATGATTTAATGAGTTGATACTTATAATATGATAAATCGATAATTAAGAATGTATAAGTATTCAATTAGATTAATCAACAAGTGTTTTAAACTTTTAAGTTTTAATAATCAGATATGTAAATATGTTTATCGATTGTAGTACATACCAATAATTCAATGAGACAATGATACTTATGATAGTATGATAATGATACCAACCGTACATTCGTACGATATGATATACATAATAATTAATCTATAATTACATATACATTAACAATATCGTATTGAATCAATTTCCATTTCCAAACATTGCATTTCTTATAAATTATAACTTACACGAGATTAAATGGATTCGTTATTTAGTTTGTTACTTTATTTAGATTACTAACTCAAACAACTTAATAAGTTAAATGGACGAAATCACGAAATCACTAATTAAAGTGGTGATGAAATCATATGCAATACTAATGTACAATTACAGATTTGGGATGCCTCCGTATTTAAAAATTCTTTTACTTAATATCTGGTTTAATTTAAGAAAAGCTAAAAAAATGTGTTTTATAAACATTTTAGTCCTCCCCTTTGCAAAATACTTGTATAAGAAAGTTTTATAAAGTGATAATGTGAATGATTGTACGCCTTATTGACTAGTACAGTAATATTCTAATGCTTATGCCACTTGTGTAACGCAATCTCATACTTCTCCAATCTTATGTTACCTTTGAGGCTTTGAGTGTTATTGGATGATCATGAATATCAAGGAACAATGAAGATAATTTGGGTGGACTAGCATTATTACTGGAATGAAAATGATACAAATGATATATCTTGTAATTAAAATAAATAAGTAATCTAAAACGATATTAATAATGCCGTTGGCCTAGATCTAGGTGATATAAACCTTTGTATAAACCTAAGCCGTTTGATTAGATCTACATTTATTAACATTAATTGTATTTACTATTTAGCCATTTAGGTTGTAAATAATTCAATTTGAATTAAGCAGTTTGTAATCGGATCAGTTTAAACAGGTTGCGATTCGAAAACAGTTCGATTTTAACGGTTTAACGGGTTATGGCAGTTCAGTTTAGACGGTTAGCGGATTATAACGGTTAGGTTTATACGTGCGGTTTAAACGGTTTCGGTTCATAAACGGGTCGGTTTACACGGTTAGCGGGTTACAAATGGTTCGGTTCAAACGGTTTTTTTCGGTTTAAACGGTTTCGGTTTATAAACGGTTCGGGTCATTAACGGGTTTATAAACCATTCGGTTCGGTTTCGTTTCGATTCGGATTTGCGCAGTTTGGTTTGTTATCGGTTTACGGTCCGTAACGGGTTGACATTGAGCGGTTCAATTCGGTTTCGGTTTGATATTGAACGGTTCAGTTCGGTTTTCGGTTTATATTTATCGGTTTATAAACGGATCGGTCCGTGATGGTTCGGTTCGGTAACGGGCGGTTTCACGGTTCGGTTTGAAAAGTCCCACCCCTAAAAACAGGGATTAAAGTTGTTTTAACTCTTAAAAGGTGTTGTAAAATATCTGTAAAACAAATTAAGTTGTTTTATTTTTTTGTTTTTAAATGCAAAAATCATACTGTATTAGAAAGTGAATTTCACAAAATTTGTTTGCGTAAATTTTGGCAAGAATCAAGATATTGGACATATGAAGATAAAAACTGTAAAATTGGTGTTACTGTTACTTGTTGTTTCCTAGCTACTCTACTATTACTGAAGTTGATTGAACCATTATTGTTACCTCGGATCCATTATTTATGAAAAATAGTTAGCAAGCCAGTTGTATAAAGTATTGCAAATTAAAAGCGTAAAAATTAGAGTGAAAGCAAAGAAATACTACTCCGTAAGTAATGTAATAAAAAGGAGTGGAATGTTTTACTACTAGAGTACGAGTATAGAATAGAGAATGTAAAAGAGGAAAGTAAGACAGACATAAAAGGCAGTGACGGTTCCAGCAGAATCTCCTCCAACCAGTTTGATATGCATGCTGAAGTGTCCGAACAAGTATGATCCTTTGGATTGGAATCCAGTACCTGCATTATTTATTATACTCCATCACTCTAAATCTGTAATGTAATAATATAACAAGATATGGAGTAAACCAATAATAATTAATACGAGTACCAGTATAATTATCAAGTAGAAGCTGAATCTGATTGCCTCCATTAAAGTAAGATGTGGTCAAAAGCCCAAGTTGGTACATAGTTTCTTCCGAATGGCACATCAATGGCCTTTCTTGGAGCTGCACCCAGTGCTCCATTAATCGTCAAAAACAGCAACATTACAAGTACAACTACTATCTTCTCCTTGTCAATAAATCCCATCTTCTTCTTCTTCCTACACTTTCTCACAATACAAAACAAACCCACTTATATTTGTTGGTTGAATAATAGAAATAACAAAGTAATAGGTAAGGAAAGTAGAGCACTGCACAGTACTCATTAGGTAAGGTAAGCTCAGCTCTCTGTTTTAAATTAGTACTCCGTAATAATTAATTAGAGAATCATACAAGTGAACAATGGAACCCACTATCTTAAATATCTACGTAATGCCTTCCTCTCTTGGTACTAGTGTACTACTCACTACCCAAATTAACTAAACCTGTGCTACTTGAACTAATCAAAACTAGAAGAACGTAATAAAGCAAGGAGTATAATGAATGAATGAATATGATACCTCAAGAAACACGTTGGTTGTTGTTTGAAAGAAAGAAAGAAAAAAAGTTGAAACACGTAAACAAATAAAGAAGAGACAGACAAGGATATGAGTTATACTGCGAAACAGAATGAATGAGCCTATGATATTCCCTATTTAATATTTATAGAGAGGTCAAGCATCATTTTTTCAAGGCTTCAACAGTGTAGCCAGTACCTTGTGCTTTGTGCACCTTAACACTCTCATTTCCACCGTAAATTGCTCTACATTGCGGACCCCCCCTCATCCAACTTTTATTTGTCTCATTCATCACCAATGTTATTTACGGGACTCCCTAACTATGGCCTCTAATTTCTAATTGCATTTAGTAAGGAAAATCTTCAAATTTACAGCAATACATTGTGTGTTTAGCAAACAAAATAGTTAAATTATTGCTATTTACGGAAGTAGTTCAACCATGAAGCATTTCAAAAATACGGTGTACAGTATTAATTTTAACACCAAAGGTTATATATCGAGTAGAAAATATACATTTACATCAAATTAATCCAACATCATTAAGAGTAAAATAAACATTACGGGGTAGTATTATTAACAAAGCTCCTAGCTCCTACGTCCATTCCTAAAAGTTTAATTCATAATTTTATTTACATTTTAAAATTAATTTATTAAAGTGTTTTGAGTAATTTTTGACAATGTTGTACTCGGTAAAACGTAAAAAGGAGTGGTTGTAATAGTAGTCCAGCTGTTAATTGGAGGCCAATCCAGTTGCAATTGTTTATTAAGGTAATGGTAGTCAAATCTTGATGTTTAGGGAATGCGATTAAATTTTATGACGTCAAAAAGAATTCATGTGATTGGGTAAATACAGCACAGTAGTTGATACTGTTACCTACAGATAGCTGATATTGGCGTCCACAGCTCACATGGGTCACGTGAGTGGTTTAATTTAGTTCTAAGTGTTCCTCGTATATTTAAGCAAGCTGGGACTTTTCCTGTCTGTACTTGCAGCAATCAGCATATGCACACCACTGACCAGTCACGACTGATGACCAAGCAGAGTGTCTGCACACCCACTGTTACTACTCCCTTACTATGTTTAATGAAGTATTATTAAGCATGCATAAGTACATGGATGGACTTATGTTTAAGCACTAATCAAAGGAGATTGTTCGTGTTTTTCTGCTCAATTTACTTACATAAATACACCACCTTTAGTGTATGATGGAAATAATCGCACATCAAATCTCCAATAATACCAGGTACTCTTTCTGTTTTACTCCATCTCTTTTATTATATGATTCAATTTGATTGGGTATATATGTCAATACAAAACTTCAACCGATTACTTCTTCGATTATCATTAATTACAAATTATACAAAGTACATATTTATAAAATTATATATTGAGACGATTCTAATAAGAGCTCACATAACTATACTTAATCTTTATAACTGCCCCGGTTCTAATAATGCAACAAAATGGGTATTATTTGTGAGACATAAAAATTCCTTTGTTGCAAATAATAACCATGATAGTAAAAATTCTACAATGTCATTCTTTACAAATGACACCACAATTTGCTGATGTGGCAAAATATAATTGGCTTGTATTTTGTATTTATATTTTCATTTTGAATTACTTTTAATGTCCACAATGTATTAAAATTGTATTCTTTTTTGTATTATTTTTAATACATGTGTTTTTTTTAGAAATACATAATTATAAATTATGAAAATCTATTTTTATAATATAAATTAATTTTCGAATTTATAATTATAATTAGAAATCATTGTTCATCATTGTTCATCATCGTTTATCGTTCATCATTGTTCGATCATATCGTTCATCATCATGGTTCATCATTGTTCGATCATATCGTTCATCATCATGGTTCATCATTGTTCGATCGCCATTGTTCATAATTGTTCGATCACACCGTTCATCATTGTTCATCAATCATGTCATAGATTAGCCCCCCATTCCCAAATTCAATGTTAGTTGTTGATAAATTCGCAAATCCCAACTAAAATCGTGATAAAAATTCGAAAACAAATTGTGTTTTTGCATTTTATTTTTTGCAGTTTTTAATTTTAGGTTTTCTTTCGTAAAAAAATCTCAATAACAATCTCATTTATAAGTATTTACAAAGGACAAATTCGCTTTAAATGGTTCGAAAATATGATTTATGTGGACTCAAATTGTGCAATTTTGTCAAATAACAAGGAGTATCAAGTTTGTAGAAGATGAAGTGGTTGAATTTTTTACCTACGGCAACCCCTGTTTGATCTAATAAATATAATTAAGTTTTCTCGAACTTGTTTGTGGGTTAGGTAATGACTTAAACTATCTTTGGTCATTACATAGGTTAACATTTTTTTTATATTCTGGTATTAACCTTATTATATTATGGTCGTGACAAATATTAAATTATGATATACTTTCTCACTCTATAATATAATATACTTATATATTGTAAGAAAATTAATATTGTTCATAATTATTTGTAAAGAAAGAATTCCTCTTTTAATGGTTCGACAAAATGATTTATGTGGACTCAAATTGTGCAATTTTATCAAAGAACAAGGATTATCAAGTTTGTAGAAGATAAAGTGGTTGCATTCTTTTTTTGTTTGCAACCCTTGTTTGATCCGATAAATGTAATTAAGTTTTCTCGAACTTGTTTGTGGATTAGGTAATGACTTAAACTAGGTTTGGTCACTACATTGGAAAACAATGTTTTTTATATTCTGGTATTAACCTTATTATAGTATGGAAGTGACAAAATATTAGATTATGATATACTTACTCACACTATACTATAATATACTTATATATTGTTAGAAAATAAATACTCCATATGTTTCATTATAATCGCAACAGTGGGATTGGCTAAAAGTTTTTGGAAAATTATAGGGTTGTGACCAGAAGGAGAGTTGTTTGATATAAAGTATGGTAACTAGAGATATATTTAATTATTAGTAGGAGAAAGAAATGTAGTAATAAAAAAATAGTGTAAGTGGGGTTGATAGAAATAGAAAGTAATTTTAGGTCATTACAAAATAAGAAAAATATTGCAATTATTATTAAATGGATGAAAACGCAAAGTTTTGCTAGTATTACGAAATGATGGAAGTAATGGCTAAACTTTAATGCTTGTTCAATTCATAGAGGTGTATATTACCTAAGCCGAGTATTACCTTAGTTATGTTCATATGTTCATTTTACTTAGGCAAGTCCATGCACAATCCCGAGATTTCTATGAGAACATGAACAAGCTTCAACCAAGCTTGAATCCGAGTAAGTTATTGATCGACTCTGTTCATTTTAACTCGTACTTTTTCAATAAATAATATTATAGACCACATATTTAATCAACATTAGCCCTACTCCAATCCAACTCCAATGGCAAACTGAGTTTCGGATTAGATTTGTACGTAACATACGTTTTTTTAACTAGTTACATAGATCACATATATTTTTCTTACATTTTTGTTTTTTTTGAATGATGTCGACTGAAACTAGTTTCATATATACATATTTTAAAAAATTAGGTATTTTGATATTTCAAAGTATTAACCTGTAATAGTAGTAGTAAACAATACGGTTAAACAACGATAAAGCTACACCAATTACAAACAAATTGTAAACTCATCATTTTATCATGCATAGGACTTCTATGAGCTATTAATTCTCATGGTATTTACTTTATGGCCTTAAATATTTTTTTAGTAAAATGAACTTTCAATTTATTAGCTATTATGTATTATTTTTAATTCAACAAATTAGAATTTAGTTTTACATATCAAGGTAATAATCAACTATTTCCCCTTCATCATCGCCACTTGTGCCTCCTTCTAGCTTACGCTTAGTGCGTGAGCTAACAATTAACTCTCCATCATTGTTAATAAATGGTGAACAAGAACGATTTAAAACAGTTGGGGTTTTCCCACGTGGATTGCTAAACATCGCCCGTAAATCTCCACATAAAGCCCACAAAATTCACTTGATTTGACAATATTGCCCTTAACCTAAAAAAAACACTCACACTCTCATCACTCACACTCTCATCGCTCATCTTCTTTCTAAATCGCTAAAAAAAAAAAAATTCAAACTACAACAATGTCGAGGCGGCAAGGCAAGGAGTTAGCGGCGGCAAGGCAAGGAGTTAGCGGCGGAAGGCAGGAGGTCTCAAGGAGGCAAGGTACGATTTCTATAAAAAAAAAAAAAATTGAAAACCGCCGTGAGGGGGGGGGGGGTGGCGCCTTGGTTGGACGCCTGGCCAGTGGTGGTGGCGCCAGCTGCAGACGCCGCAACCAGTGGGCTGGCGCCACCACCACTTGCCTGGCGTCCAGCCAAGGCGCCCCCCCTTTTTTTATTTTTTTTTTATGTTTATTAAATTTTTTATTTTTTGTGTAATTTCTTGTTCAATTGTTTGTATATTTGTTTTTTATTTTTTATGTTTATTAAATTTCTTTTTATTTTTTTTGTGTAATTTCTTTTTCAATTGTTTGTATATTTTGTTGTTTATTTTTATAATTTTTTTCAATTTTGTTGTATTTTTTCTATGTTTATATTTTGTTTACAATTACTTGTTTGTTTTATTTGTTTGTTTACAATTTTATTTTTATTCTCTATTTCAATTTGTTAGTACATTTTTTTGTTCATTTGATATTGTTTTTGGTTAGTTAATCTATTTTAATTTTTACTATTGATTTATAAAGACTTAAAAGGACGCTAGACAAAAATTAATTTAAGTTCAGTAAATTATCAAATAAAGCGACTACGCGTAATTGAAAATCAAAACTAAATTGCGAATGAAATATTTATGTTTATATATATTTTTATGTGTTGGTTTTATGTCCTTTCTTATTGTATTTTTTATTCTATTATTTTTTTAAGTGTTTTGTTAATTTCTTTATTATGTTAATTTGTTAGTATGTTTTTAGTTATTTTGGTAGTTATTTTTGTTATAATTTTTGGTAGTTATTTTTGTTATAATTTTTGGTAGTTATTTTTCTTACATTTTTTAAATTTTTTGAAGGTGTCGCATTTTCACCATGGTGCGGGGAAGAATCTAAACCTTATTAGAAGTGGAAACAACTCGATGGAGAGCTCGGGGCCCAGACATCCTAGATCTCGTGGTATTTCGGCCTCGGCTCGTAGAGAACGGGTTCACCATCGGGATGAGAATGAAGATGATGATGATGATGATGATGATGAGGAGGAGGAGGATGT